AGAGATTCATCAGCCTGCTGCCGTCGCTCTCGATCTCGCCAACCCAGCGGATGACGGTGGAGTCCGTCTCGGCCTCACCCGTAGCGTCCTTCACCGCTGCCGCGTGGTCCGTCCAGCACAGGGTGGGCAGCCGACCGAAATCCTTACGTGCCTCCCGCCTGGTCTCCCGCTGCGCATACAGCTCACCCCTGCGGGGGTGCCAGTTGCTCTGCGCCAAGCTGAGGCAGCCGCCGTACATCGCCAGCACGTTGAGCGTGCGGCGGTCGGCGGCCAGCTGATACACGCTGCCGCCCCAACCGTAGGGGCAAAAATCCGCGACCTGCTCGAGCGGGCGGTCCTTCGAGATCGCCCCGACCATGTCGATCACCGCGAGGCGGATGGCCTCGCACGCGAGCTGCTGGATGGCGCGCTGGGCCGCAACCTTCTCGGAGGTCATCGGCCACTCGGCGTCCTTCTTGAGCTGCTGCGTGAGGATCCCCAGCGGCTTCTGCACCTCCTTGGGGAAGTGGCCGCGGATCCAGTTGAACGTGCCAAGGAACCTCCGCAGCGCCGCCACGTCCTCGAGCACCGACCAGTTCTTGATGAGCTCCAGATGCCGCTCGCACGCCCCGCTCCCCTCGCGGCCCACGATCTCGCCGAGCGCCTCGATGGAGGGCTGAGCCAGCCTGTCGAGGGACTTCTCGGCACCCATGGAGTACCCGGCCGCGATGCACACGTCCAGCAGGCCTTCGACCGCCAAGAGATGCTCGAGGAGGGTCGTGGCCGCCTTCGGGTACTTCCGCTGCCAGTAGACCAGCCGCTCGGCGTAGTACTCGTCCGTCGGCACCTCCAGCTCAACGATGTCCCGAAGCTCGTCCCAATCCTGCCACACGTGCGCCACCGACGGGTCGTCGCCGGCCGGCTCGCCATCGGTCTGAATCACGGCGCCCACGATGTCGCCGACCTCGATGCTGACGCCGGGCTGGTCCCAGTTGCCGACCAGGACGAGCTGCTCCCGGCCAAGCCAAGGGCCGGGGGCGGCCCAGACGGCCGCCGCGCCATTCGCCACCACGTCGCCGACGACACCCGCTGCGAGGCCGCTAGCGCGAGCTGGCACCAGCGCGCAGTCGCCGAGCTCCAGCCGCACGCCCTCCTCGCCGCTCAGGTAGATGGGGACGGCGGACTCCGAGTCGTCGAGCACGATCACGCCTGTGTCGCCGCCGCCGAACTCCGCGGGGCACTGGCCGCCGACCATGCAGATGGGGTAGCTCGGGCAAGCCGCGCCGGACCACACCAGGGATCCTACAGCACTGGAAGCCCGACGATCCTCACCTCGACGCCTATCGGCATCGCACTCTGAGAACACCGCCGAGATGGTCAACAGCTTCGCTTGCACCGCGTCGGCCTCTGCACGCTTGACCGTGATGCCCAGCCCCGGTAGGTAGTGGCCCTGAAGCGTAGGCCGGTGCCCGATCCCCAGAGGGGGTGCATCGAGCGCTGGGGCCCCAAGAATGATAAGAAACGGCCTGTCCCAACCCCCGCGCAGAAGCCGAAGGCGAAACACGCGCACCACTCGCGTGCCGTCCAGCCCCTCGAAGGCCAGGCGCAGGTCCACCATGCCACGGATCTTCAGCTCGCCCTTGTCCGCCACCGACGAGGCCTTCGAGTCCCGGCCCCAGTGCATCAGGCCCGCGATCGGCCAGTCGGGGTCCTCCGGAGACTTGCCCTCCGCGATCGCGCCGTTGATGATGCTGACGATCGTCGCCTCCCACGTCAGGGAGAACACGGCCCCGCCATCAAGGAGCGTCCTGATGCTGAGGCCGTAGACATGCGTGTGGCACAAGTAGTGGTACCCGTCGTCGGGCTCCTGCACCTGCGTCCAGGCGCTGGCGGGGATCTGGTCCAGGTCCTTCAGAGCTCCTTCGGGCGAAGGCGAGCCCCTGACGACGCTCACCTGCGGGAGCTCGTAGCTCGGGCCGAAGACTCCGCCACAAGGTCGCACCCACTCGAGCTTGCCCCCCGCCGCAGCCTGCACCTTCGGCGCCGCGCCAGAGGCTGCGGGCCGCGCCGCCTCCTCGGCCGCAGGCGCTGCTCCCTGGCCGCTGCCGGGGGGGCCCGCGCTGCCGAGGCTCGGCGGCGGCGCCTTAGCTGCGGCCGCGCCAGCATAGACCGCTGCAATGACCTTCTGAGCTGCCTTGCCCGAGTGGCTGAACTTGCAGTCCTTCTCGCTCTTGCTGCACGCACCCCGGAGGAACTGCAGGCAGAGCTGCGACTTGAGGCCGCCCTTGCCGCCGTCGTCCGAGCCCTTGCCCTTCTTGCCGTCCGCGCCCTTGCCCTTCGGCCCGGTCGCGTCCTTCTTGGTCCTCCGCGACTCGGCGATGGCAGCCCGGTCGCGCGAGAACCTGCAGGCGTCGCCACGGGCACACGTGCCGCTGTCCCGCATCTGGAAGCAGACCTTCACAGCTCCCTCAGCGCCGGCGCCGCCGGAGCCGCCAACAGCGCCGACCTCGGGCGGCTCCTGATCGCCGCCACCGCCGCCGCGCCGACGCCGGCCACCGCCGCCGCCCGGGCTGGGCGCGAAGTCCGAGCCCACCGCCGCGACGAGCGCCTTGGCCGAGCTCTCGGCCTCCTCCAGCTTCAGCAGCACGCGATGGGCCTCCCTCCAGGTCTCGACGCCGCGGACCTCGGGCTGGGCGCCAGAGCGCTGATACACTCGGCGATCCTTGAGCACCTCTGCCCGGTGCGCGGGAGGGATGAGCGCCAAGTAGCCGAGCAGCAAGTCACGATCGGACTTGCCCATCCCAGCCAGCTCCATCTCCGCCACGATGTTCTCGAACGTCGCCTGAAACTCCAGCGCGCTCATCTTGCCTCGGGAGAGCGTCCTCCACTCAGCGTTGAGCCGCTGCTGCTTCTCCAGCAGGCCCTCCTTGAACTCCATCAGCCTCTCCTTGAGGCTCTGGTACACCTCGTCGGGATCCGCCGCCAGCCTGCCTGACCGGCGAGCCTGCTTCAGTTCGACCTTGTAAGCCCGCTGACGCGAGCCTTTCAGGCAGGTCCCCAGCACACGCACCATCTCCGTCGCCGACATGCCCGAACCGTCGTTCGCCAGGCCGACCATCTCCTCGAACTCCTCCACGAACGAATCCACGTCGAAGTCGCCGTCGCCGAGGGTCGGCAGACTGTAGTGCGGCTTCACCTGGATCGTCGACGACTTCTTGTCGGCCCGCCGGCCGAGCGCCCCCGCGAGCCCCTGCAGCGCTGCCGCCAAGCTGGGCTCCGCCTGGCCCGCCTCGCTCGGCCCGCCCCGCGGGGGAAGCCCCGGCGGCAGGTCCTCGCCAAAGGCGGGGAAGGCGGGTGGCCCCGCGGGAGCCGCGCCGACGCCGGTGGGCGGGTGGCCCCGCGGGGAAGGCGGGTGGCCCCGCGGGGGCCGCGCCGGCGCCCCGCCGGCCACGGCGTCGCGAGCGCTGCCGCCGCCGCGCGCCACCGCGAGGAGGTCCATCAGCGCCCGCACGTCCTCGTCGGCGTCGTCCGTCTCGACGTCCAGGACGGCGTGCAGCTTCGCCTCCAGCGCGGCCGCCACGCCCTCGCCGTGGGCCCGCGCCTCCACCAGGAAGCGGGCCTTCCTCATGCCGAACTCGACCGCGCCCTCGGGCACCGCCTGCCGCCGCAGCGTCAGCACAGCCCTAGCGCGCAGCAGGCGCCGCTCGAAGTCGCGCATCGACTCGTGCGGCTCCACGTCCTTGAGCAGCCGCTCCAGGACCTCGTCGTCCGTGAGCGGCCCCCAGCTGCCGTCCGACAGGGCTCCAGTGGCGTCGGAGCCCGCGTCGGACGCCCGCACCGGCGAGTCCAGCAGCCGCAGGACGTCGTCGGCCGCCGGCGGCTGCGCCGCCGCCGGCGTCGCGGGGCTGCGCGCCGCCGCGGGGCCCTGCTGGCGCAGCCGCGCCTGCCAGTCGTGGCCGTGCAGCGCCTCCATGGTGCTCCGCCACAGCGCGCTCTCGCTGGCCGCGATCGCGGGCGCCGTGCGAAGCCGGCGACCTGGGCCGGCGCGCCACTGCACCCAGGCGCCGAAGGCCAGCAGCGGCGGCTGCGCCACGGCCCCGTCGGCGATCGCCTCCAGCAGCGAGCCCTCGAAGCCGGCGACCTCCACGCCAGCGCCGGCGCCGGAGGCGGGTGGCCCCGCTGGGGCCGCGGCTGCCTGCGCCGACGGCGCGCCAGCCTCCGCGCCCGCCTCGGCGTCGCCCACGTCGGCGTCGCCCAGCTCCGCGCGCGGCGCCCGCGCTGGTGACGCCATCGCCCGGGCCCGGGCCCGCTCGGGAAGTCGTTTCCCGGAGCAGCCCCCACGTGAGGCTCACCTGGAGCCTCGGCCCCCCTGGGCCTCGAGAGCGGCCTCCTCGAGCCGCCCTCGGGCCCGCCGGGCCCTTGCGGGCCCTCGGACCCCGGGCGGGCCCCCCCGCGCCTCCCCCCCGCGCTTCTGAGGAGAGGGAGGAGGGGGGCCTTTCTCCTCTTGAGCCACGCGGCGGCGCGGGGCAAGCAGCCGCCGTCGCCGGGGCCGTCGTCGCCGGCCCGCACTCCGCCGCCTGTGCGCCCATGCCGCTCCTCAAGTCGTAGTAGTCGTAGTAGTCGTAGTAGTACGAGTGGTGGAAGAAACGTAGTAGGAAACACATGAAGAAGAGGTGGAGGAGGAGGAGCAGCAGGAACAGAAACACGAGGAGGCAGAGGAGGCGGAGGAGGGGGAAGGCAATTAAGCGGAAGAGGAGAAGGATGACGACGATGATGATGAGGAGGAGGCGGGAAAAAATCAAAAGGAGCAGGAGGAAGGGGACATGGAGGAGCAGAAGGAAGAGGGGGAGGGGGAGGACGACGAGGGGAAGGAGGGGGCGCCATCAGGTGGAGGACGACGAGCAGGAGGACGACGACGGGGAGGACGACGAGGACGACGACGAGGACGACGAGGAGGACGACGAGGAGGACGACGAGGAGAAGGAGGACGACGAGGATGACGACGACGGGGGCGCAATCAGGTGGAGGGCGCGATGCGCCCGCGCGCCTCTGGGACGCCGTGCTGGACGCGCGGGCCTACCACGAGTGCGCCAAGCACCGCCTGGCCTTCCAGGGGGGAGGGGGGAGGCACGACTGTACTGCCGCTGCATGGCCTCTGGCGCACCGCGCCAGCACATGCGCCTGGCGCGGGCGCGCGAGGCACGTGTTTTCACGCGTCCACGGCCCCCAGTCGGGAACCAGATGTGTAGTCGGCGGAATCTTCACGTGTAAACATGCGTGCGCGGAGGGGGGAGCCCCACATGCGCCTGGCGAGTGCGCGCGGGGCACGTGTTTCAGGAGGGGAAAAGATGCACACACACACAAGCCAACGCTGCCCGCCGCGAAAGTATGGGACATGCTGAAGCTGTTGGGGAGAAGGAACACCCAAGAAATATCGAGCACTTCTGGGGAATCCTGAAATTTCTGCCCATCTATATGTGTGCCCCTGGGCCCCTCCTCCCTCCCCCTCCCCCTCCCCTTCAAGCTGGCGTTCCAATGCTGCTCAGTATGATGACAGTCGCCCGCCGTCGATGGCACCCTGCACGTTTTGAGTGGTGCCTGAGGGGGCTCCTTGATCATATTCCCCATATTTCCCATGTTTCCTAGGGTTGTTTGGGTCGCTACGGGAGATTCGGAGGGAAGGTCGCTCGGCCATATTTCCCCACGTTTCCTCGGCTGGCGGCCCCGTTGATTCAGCCGAGCTCTGTTGCCGATGCGCCGTCTGGGCGCCTGGTTGCTCTGTCCGTCTGCCAGCCCATCCTCGTGCATGCGGCCGCTCGGCGGCGAAACTCGGCGACGCGCCCCGGGGGGGCAGGGGGGGGGAAGTGAGAGGGGTCGGGCGACGGAATTTATACATATCCATTGCTCCCTGGCCAGGCCCATCCTGAACCCAGGAGCAGTGCATACGCCCTCCTGGCCAAGCCAGCAGGGCGTGGCGTACACACCGCTGCTGGGTTCCGGATGGACCTGGCCAGGGAGCAGTGGGTTTGCATAGATTTTGCCGCCCTGAGGGGGCGGGCCTTCTCAGAAGGCTCGGAAGTCCCCCGGCCTTCTGAGAGGTCTTGGAAGCCTTCCTTGAAGACAGAGGAAATTGCCCAGAAGGCCGAAGGCCTTCTGAGAAGCCCCGCCGCCTTCTGAAAAGGCCTTCTCTTTTTCAGTTCTCCCCCTCGCTCGCCGCCGAGAAACCTGGACCCTACCCTCACCGATCCACGATTCAGGCAGCTCGATGGGCAGTGGGGGTACGGTTTCGGTTCGGAATTTGTCGAAAGTGGCGAAATTCACCACCGACCAAACCACCCCAACCCAACCCGAAGGCCCCAATGTGCACTCCGCTCCCAGTGGTGGGGTGGTGGGGGGGTCGGGGAACATGGCAAAAACAGAAATGAAACCCGTACCCCCCCCCCAGCCCGAAATTCGGGTCTTCGGGTTGGGTTGGGGTGGTCTGGGAAGTAGTCAATCAGAACCCTTCTCCCCGCCCCCCATCGATGCATGATAATCGATGGTTGGTGGGGGTTTTAGGGTGCGGATGTCGCCACCCGGCCGCATGCAGCATATCGACTTTGGCACGTCATTCCGCGTGCTCTCGAAGGGGGAACAGATTGAGTCCGCCACTGTGTCGCTGTGCGTGCTGTCAGCATTAAACAGCCGGCTGAGCGAAGCTGCCATCGTGTGAGTTCGTTGCGCTGCTCTTCCTCTTGCGCTGCTGTGTCACCCGTGTCTTGTCCCGTTCGGGCTCGCGGAGTATTGCGAAGAAGGTGTGGTTCGTGATCATTTGGGCGGGGACGCAGCAGCCTGCAGCCGTGGCCTCGCCGCTGGATGCGTTTCTGCCTGCTGAGGTGTGGGAGCCCACGATTATCGTTTGACTGGCATTGAAGTTGGGCTCATCTGTTTTTTCTCTGAGATGTTCGAGATGTGTTCGTGGGCTGTTCTCCGAGATGTTCGAAATATGTTTGTTTGACGGGTTATCCTTAAACACCCGCAAACCGAACACTGTTAGACCAACATATGTCGAACATCTATGACTCATATCTAACTGGTATGTGAATACCAGGGTATTCCATGAGTTTTCCATATTGTCAGCACCTGTTGAGCACTGTTTTGCGCGAGTGCGTGACGTACCCACTGCTTCGATCTAGTATTCAGATGTGTCGTCGTTCGTCGTTCGTCTGTTGTCGCTAGTCGTGTTCGTCGATCGTCGTGTTCGTCGTTCGTCGTTCGTCGTTGCTCTCGTCGTTCGTCGTTCGTCGTTCGTCTGTCGTCGTCGTCGTCGTTCGTCGTTCGTCGTTCGTCGCTCGTCGTGTTCGTCGTTCGCCGTCGTCGTCCGTCTTCGTCGTCCGTCGTCCGTCGTCGTCGTCGGAGGGATTTGGATGGTTTCGAGACAAATGATTCTAGAGTGATTATTGGGCTTACGCCGCGACGCCGACCCCTTGGGGGTCTCTGGTAGGTCTCGAGGGCCTCCCGGCAGCACTTCGAAGGCCTCTTGGGGTCTCTTTTGGGTCTCTTGGGGGCCTCTTGCGGCCTCGTGGGAGCCTTTTGGGGGCCTCATAGGGGCCTCCTGGGTGCGCGGGCCTCCGGGGACCCAAGCCACCGACGACGACGATGACGACGACGACGACGAAGACGACGACGACGACGACGACGACGACGACGACGACGACGACGACGACGACGACGACGACGGCTCCGGCTCTGGCTCTGGCTCCGGCTCCGGCTCCGACGACTCCGACTCCAAAGATTCCGACAATTCCGACGACTCCGACTCCGCCGACTCTGACGACGACGACGACGATGACGACTCCGATTCCAACGACAAAGGCGACGACAACGATTCCGGCGACGACGACTCCGATGACGCACGACGACGACGACGAAGACAACGACGACGACGAAGACGACTCCGACTCCGACGACGACGACGACGACGACGACGACGACGACTCCGCCTCCGACTTCGACTACGACGACGACGACGACGACGACTCCGACTCCGACTGCGACTCCGACGACTCCGCCTCTGCCTCCTCCGCCTCCCCCTTCCCCTCCGACGACGACGAAGACGACGAAGACGACTCTGACGACGACGACGACGACGACGACTCCGCCTCCGACTTCGACTACGACGACGACGACTCCGACTGCGACTCCGACGACGACGACAACGCTGACGACGACGACGACGACGACTCCGTCTCCTCCGACTCCGACTCCGACTCCGACGACTCCGACGACTCCGACTCCGACGACGAAACTCCGACGATTCCGACTCTGACGACAACTCCGACGATTCCGACGATTCCGAAGACTCCGACGACTCCGACTCCGACTCCGTTTCCGAATGTAGAATTTGAAGTTCTACATTCGGTTCCTCGGCAGAACTTGAAGTTCTGCCGAGGAGCCGAGGGTAGAACTTGAAGGTCTACCTTCGGCTCCTCTGCTGACGACGACGACGACGACGACGACGACGACTCCGACTCCGACTCCGACTCCGACTCCGACTCCGACTCCGACGACTCCGACGACTCCGACTCCGACTCCGAATGTAGAACTTCTTGAGGCTCTACATTCGGCTCCTCGGCAGAACTTGACTTGAAGTTCTGCTGGGGAGCCGAAGGTAGATCTTCAAGTTCTGCCGAGGAGCCGAAGGTAGAACTTCAAGTTCTACCTTCGGTTCTTCTGCTGCTTACGACGACGCCTCCGTCTCCGACGGCTGACTCCGACTTCAACGACTCCGACGACTCCGACGACTCGGACTCCGCCTCCACCTCCGACTCCGACGACTCCGACTCGAACTCCGACGACTCCGACGACTCCGACGATGACTCCGAATGGAAAACGTGAAGGTCTACATTCGGCTCCTCTGCTGACGATGACGACGAAGACTCCGTCTCCGACGACTCCGACTCCGACTCCGACTCCGACGATTCCGACGACTCCGCCTCCGACAACTCCGCCTCCACCTCCGACTCCGACGACGAAAACTCCGACGGTTCCGACGACTCCGACTCCGAATGTCAAATTTGAGGTTCTTCATTGGGACCCTCGGCAGAACTTGAAATTCTGCCGAGGAGCCGAAGGTAGAACTTCAAGTTCTGCCGAGGAGCCGAAGGTAGAACTTCAAGTGCTACCTTTGGCTCTTCTGCTGACGACGGCGACTCCGTCTCCGACGACTCCGACTCCGACTCCGACTCCGACGACTCAGACTTCGACGACTCCGCCTCCACGTCCGACTCCGACGACGAAAACTCTGGCAACTCCGACGACTCCGACCCCGACGACTCCGACGACTCCGACTCCGACTCCGAAGGTAGAACTCGAAGTTCGACATTCGGCTCCTCGGCAACTTCGACGACTCTGCCTCCACGTCCGACTGCGACGACCCAAACTCCGACAACTCCGACGACTCCGACTCCGACGACTCCGACTCCGACGACTCCGACTCCGACTTCGAATATAGAACTCGAAGTTCGACATTCGGCTCCTCGGCAGAACTTGAAGTTCTGCCGAGGCGCCGAAGGTGGAACTTCAAGCTCTGCCGAGGCCGAGCCGCCCGGCCCCGCGGCGCGCGGGCGCGCGCCGCGGGACCGGGCGACTCGCGGAAAGCAGTGCTCAAGATGTGTGGAAGCCAGTCAACAGCCAGTCTACTCGCACGCCAGCTATGTATGCATCGCAGAACACATGTCAGCTGATATACCCTCCTCGCCCCTCCTTGCCACCTCCTCCCCTCCTTCTCCACCCCCCTGTCCTCGCATGCCAGCTAGGTGTACATCGCAGAACACTTTTTTGGTCGGCGGGGCGAGAGCGAACCTCTTCCGCTAAAAGCTAGGCGGGCTACGCACAGCTTTAATTAAAGAGACAGGGCACAGGCGGGCGGGGCCTCAGGCGGCCGGAGTGGGCGGGGCGCGGGGTGCAGCGGTGCCGAAGAGCTACATCGTAGAACACATGTCAGCTTATATACCCTCCTCGCCCCTCAGTGCCACCTCCTCCCCCTCCTTCTCCGCCCCCCTGTCCTCGTTGCCATCCTGCTCGCCTCGTCGTCGTCCTCCTCCTCCTCCTCCTCCTCCTCCT